TATATATATATATATATATATATATATACATACACACACACACACACAAATTTTCTGTCCCCATATCTTGAATTTTGTGTTCATTCAAAATGCATTTTAATAGACTGAATCACGCAGTGAAAGAACACATTCTAAATGCGCACGCGCACTAGTCTAATCTACTAGACTTCATCTCGTCACATATGCGTGCACTCTGTAGGTGTGTTTTGTTTGGTTTTTGTAATATACTCGATAATGTCAAATCGCACATCGTTAAAAAAACAATTACGATATTATCACAGATGATATATATCGCACACCCCTAACTGTGATTGGTTCATGTGATAAATCCCACCTCTTGTGGTCATGCAAGTTCGGCGTTTGTGAATCAGTCTGATTGAACAATATAATGGCATTAATGGGAAGACTAATTAAAAAAAGTAAGTAAACAACTCACACACTTAGATATAACCCCTTTGTTACGTAAAAATAAGACTTAAAATGGCATGAAAACATGATCTGTGGGAGTGTTTTAGTGAGCAATCAGCTTGGTGAAATCTCTGGGTCAGTGACCAATATTTATAGAGCTTTGATGACTGATGATCTGATCAATTCAAAAATAGTTAAAAGTTAACTAATAAAAAATAGCTGAACCTAAGTTCACAAATAAAATATATTGTTTAAATACTGCTGTGAGTTATTATTTTAATAAATGCAAAATGCTTAAAAACACTAACTTGACAGGGTTTCCGCAGGTCCTTAAAAAGTCTTACATTTATTTGTATAAAATTTAAGGCCATAAAAAGTCTTAAATTGTACAAGAAAGTCTAAATTAGGATTTCAAGAGGTCTTAAATTTGGGGACGGAAAGACCAGAATGGCGAAATGGCTTAATGTGATGATTGCGCTGCACGTTTCAAAGTCTGGCGCTGCGCTGATTTGTGTTCTGCTGTTACAAGGGAAACCGTTCCAAAAGCGCCTCCTGCTGGCAGAGAATGAATGTGTATTTTCAATAAGCCGGGTATTCCTGCAATACTGGAGACTGCAGTTTTAGAACCGCATTTCTAAGCCCCTATAGTTTTTTTTTTAATTATTATTTTATTATTTTAATTAATTTTTTTGCATGTATGTGGTACAAAATAGTGCGTTTATTAGTACATTAATACATTTTAAATAATTAGAATACAAATACTAGTTCACAACATCCAGCAGCACAATGCTAACAGCTAAACAGGCTAAATGGAGATTGCTGACATCACCTCACACACTCAAGTTCATGCCAGCTCTTACATTAAAAATAAGATGGAAAGATAAAAAAATTATCGTTTCCATGGATCTAGTCTTTGCATCTGTTAGTTTGATGTTTGAATCAGGTCTCCTCTGTTGGAATATAATTGGCTAGATGACGCTGTCAGTAGGGTCCTAGTAGAAATGCGGTCCTGAAACTGCAGCCTCCGGTTTTTGTTCAGACCAATGTGAAAATTGACCCATGTTTTTACCCTGCAAACACACAGAGCTGTAAATGTGAACTGGTGGATCGATAAGAAGAAAATGCCCTATAAAAATCTAAACAGTAAAATGTGTTTGTGTTATTTAATTAATAATAAATTTTTTTTATTAAATTTATATAATAATTAATACTTTTGACTCATCCGTTTTATTAAAAATAGTTTAAAGGCTGAAATGTGAAGTGTAAAAACTTGTATCTGAACTGTAAATCATGCGTTTTACAGACATATTACAGTTTAATATCTTACTATAGACCAGGGGTTTTCAAACTTTTTGGAGCTAGGGACCCCTTACAGGGGAGAGGATTTTCCAAGGACCCCCTCATAATTATAACAGTGTTTAAGGCTAAAGTTTAATGTGGGTTGGAGGAATTAACATAATATGAATTTTATTGGTGCAAATGTTCCCCCTTGTATATGTAAGTCGCATTTTACTATTACTTTCAGAAATCATTTAAATACTGAATAGGTCTAAATAAAACGAATGTTAGGGCAAAAAAACATTATAAACACTAACATGAATTTTACTTCCTCTCACTCAAAATCATTTAAATTTTGTGACATTCATAACAGAACACAAATAATGAATATATATGTATATAAAAAACATTCATTTTAAATACCATAGGTGCCGATCCCGTGGGTGCTCGTGAAAAACACAAGATAGTCTTCGTTCATTTTAACCAATAAGAAATGGATTGCAGCTTTTACAACTTTATTCTCGTATTTATAGTTCATTTGAGGCAGTTTTTGGCATTATTTTAATGGCAAATGTCGAAAGTGCATTATTGTAATACGAGAGGGCGCCAGCACGAATCTCTCCGCTTATAGCGGGCTTGCTCTTCATTATATATATAGTGATCATAGCTCTGCACTCCCTCAGATATTACGTGTAACTCAAACTTTGTCCTGTGTATGCGCGAATAAGTGCTTTTTGTAAATAGGTATTTAATAAATAATTTTATTTAGTGAAGCGCAACCCTCATAGAAAGATTGTGTGTATTATTTGGTTGGTAATTGCATGCATTTCACTTCGCAAGATACATTTTGTGTAGTGAATTAATCAAATGTACCATCGAACGGAGTATAGCCTAATCTAGAAAAAAATCTAGAATCTAAAAATCTTATACACCCAGTATAATGAATTACTGAGTAATGAGAATGTTTAAATATGTTAAGCATTTGTTGCGTATGTGTATGATAACTTAGCCTGGTTATCATTTACTTGTGTAAACAGCGGTGAAAATGTGTTTTATAAAAAAATTAAATGCTTGTTTTTTGCACCCACCAGCAGAAACATAAATCGGCTTTGTCCATAACAAACTAAACTTACTTACTGAAACTTACTTATTAAATACTGAATAGGTCTAAATAAAACGAATATTAGGGCAAAAAAACATTATAAACACTAACATGAATTTTACTTCCTCTCACTCAAAATCATTTAAATTTTGTGACATTCATAACAGAACACAAATAAATGAATATATATGTATATAAAAAACATTCATTTTAAATACCATAGGTGCCGATCCCGTGGGTGCTCGTGAAAAACACAAGATAGTCTTCGTTCATTTTAACCAATAAGAAATGGATTGCAGCTTTTACAACTTTATTCTCGTATTTATAGTTCATTTGAGGCAGTTTTTGGCATTATTTTAATGGCAAATGTCGAAAGTGCATTATTGTAATACGAGAGGGCGCCAGCACGAATCTCTCCGCTTATAGCGGGCTTGCTCTTCATTATATATATAGTGATCATAGCTCTGCACTCCCTCAGATATTACGTGTAACTCAAACTTTGTCCTGTGTATGCGCGAATAAGTGCTTTTTGTAAATAGGTATTTAATAAATAATTTTATTTAGTGAAGCGCAACCCTCATAGAAAGATTGTGTGTATTATTTGGTTGGTAATTGCATGCATTTCACTTCGCAAGATACATTTTGTGTAGTGAATTAATCAAATGTACCATCGAACGGAGTATAGCCTAATCTAGAAAAAAATCTAGAATCTAAAAATCTTATACACCCAGTATAATGAATTACTGAGTAATGAGAATGTTTAAATATGTTAAGCATTTGTTGCGTATGTGTATGATAACTTAGCCTGGTTATCATTTACTTGTGTAAACAGCGGTGAAAATGTGTTTTATAAAAAAATTAAATGCTTGTTTTTTGCACCCACCAGCAGAAACATAAATCGGCTTTGTCCATAACAAACTAAACTTACTTACTGAAACTTACTTACGCAAACCTCTCATTCGGCATGAATCGTTTCCATGAGTGAATCGTTACGCAGTCTAACATTTGGTTGCTAAACTATTAGGCTACTTATTATGTAAAGAAGGCTTTGTACTTCTCTCATGTCCGAATATCTACTAACAGCATCCTTCACATATGCAAAAAAGTGTTTGGAAAAACATCACGGCATGCTCACGCTGACCGGCAAAACCTACATATTGTACAACAGACAAGTTAAATTGAGTCACCATATACTTTTTGTATGTTTAGTTGTCTCATTTAGTTTGCTGATGATGAGACCGCTAGAACTGATTTGTTGTGTGCGCGCGGGAGGTGCCAGCGCGAACACTTTGTATCAGTGGAAAAATGTGATATCCGTCAGATATGAGCAAGACATCATTCAAAACGGTCTATTTTTATTTGTGTACCTTCAAGATGACAGTGAAACGTTGTGCTTTTGTAAATTAAAGAAAACAAACAAAATGCGCTTGCCGTCTTGGTCTATGTGAACCACTTCCTAAAATGAAGAAAAACTATGCGATACTGTCTACTTGTCAAACAGACGAGAAATATATTTAGCTATATAAACCTTAAAGTGTAAAACCATCGTGAAGTGTTTACGATTTGCTTATTTGACAGTAATGCATTATATAAGTCACTTTGGAATATAAATCATAGCATGTTTCAGAAGATAAAAAACGCGAGTTGCAGTCCGGAAAATACGGTATAGCAAATTATTTTGCGGACCCCCTGGCTTTGCATCACGGACCCCAGTTTCTAAAACTTGTGCAGGTCTTAAAAAGTCTTAAATTTGAGCTTAAAAATCCTGCAGAAACCCTCCTTGAGATTAATACATGACTTTAATAAATAGAAAATTGATTACATTGTTGTTAATGTAAAAATATAAAATAGAATTGCATTTTTTTTTTTTTTTTTTATAGTGTAAGTAATGTTTATTTAACCAAGAAAATGTGACTGGGAAATGAATTTACATTTGATTTATATAAAAAAAAAAAAAAACTTTGAGGACTTTGCGTCCTCATTTCAGAACACCACTGATGTACACATGTACACATACAGTATGTATGCGTGTGTATGTATGTTTATAAATATATGTTTGTTTAACAGTGTATAATGTATGTTTTAGAGCAGGGAGTAAATTGTATCATCGAGTTGCGTATCATCTTTTGGGCCCTAAGGGGTCATGTTCAAAGAGACACATGTGCACAGAAAGACTCCTGTTCCTCTTTGATCCCTCATTGCACTTACACACATCCACACATTCCCATGCAGTCACACACACGCACACACACACACGGTGTCACATCTGCAGGTCCAAATCCTTCCTGAAATAAAACCTCCTTCCTGCTGTAAAACACAACATTGGCGTCGCAAAGATGAGCACCTCCCAATGATGCCCAATTACCTCTCTTTATGTGTGTGTGAATGGGAGATAATGGCTAATCTTTTGTTCCGTACTGCTCTCACACATACAGCAGGAAAGTGTACCACCTGGTCACCATGGCAACTAGTCAGCCCTGTACTGTACTCCAATGATTATGGGTTGAATTTTGATTTAGTTATTGTGTAGAGGGATTGACCCACGAGCATGTGCCTGCAGAATATATGAAATTCAAATATTACAATGTTATTTTTTTTTTGTTTTGTTTTTTACTTGAAGCCTATATATAAAAATTAATCACAATATTTTCATAATGTACTTATAAGTTTCTTGGGGACCACATTGTCATACATGACATTGTTTCATAAATAATTACAAAAATAATTATAATACATTCAAGAGTAAAATGCATTACATCATAACATGGTATATAACATGTAAATGGATATTTTGTCAATTTATATATATATAAAGAATAATATGCTAAAAACTAAATGAAATTAGATGTGATTGAATTAAGAATTACATTGTGTTACATTATAACTTAGTTTATAATTAACATTATAACTAACTATTAGTGATGTCAAATCGATTAATCGCATCCAAAATAAAAGTTTGTGTTTACATAATATATGTGTGTGTACTGTGTATATTTATATGTATATAGAAATACACACACTTACATGTAAGAAATGTAAGAAATATTTGCATGTGTATATATTCATAATTATATGATTTATATTAAATATAAATATATATATATTCCATTTATTTCTTAAATATATACATGTCTGTGTGTGTATTTCTATATACATATAAATATACACGGTACACACTGTGTCCTCGATTTGATAGCACTACATATAATTATATGCAACATTATAATATACAGTATAAAATATCTTTTGAAATTTGCTAAAGATTACATGTAACAGTGTTATAAAATTATTAGTGTTTTAAAAGTTTGACGTTAAGAAGTGTCAGCAAATGTAATCTAAATGTAAAAAAATAAGACTTAATTGAAAAGCAATGCTGTGCATTTTATGTTATGTTATGTATCTCTGAATGTGTTCCAGGTGTTTGAGTTTCTCATTCGTCTGCACTCGGTGGAGGCTGCACAGGAAGAGGAAGTGTATCCCTACATCCGAACTCTTCTGCACTTCGACACTCGAGAGTTCCTCAACGTCCTGGCATTGGTGTGCATCAGCTAATCCATAAATTAATATGTATTACTAAAATCATCAGTGCTTTACTAATGTGTTATATGTGTAGAGTTCATCTGCCCTTTAATCAGATCTGAATTTTATTATGTCCTTGCCTCAGACATTTGAGGACTTCAAGAATGACAAACAGGCTCTGGAGTATCAGCAAAGGATTGTGGACATTTTACTGAAGGTGACAGAAACATATTTCTCAATATCTGTATATTTCTCAATATATTTCTCAATGTCTTTCACCTAAAAATCTCATACACACACAAACACATATGAATGCTCACCCAGCTTTCCCCCAATCTGTGTAAAAAGCGTTTGGCTCTGAAATGATTCTTCACTCTGTCATTGGAATGTAAATCATGTGAATGGGATAATTGTATCTGCTGGAGAACCGACTCAGTCCTGCAGTCTTCCTCCCCCTCCTCATCACAGCTCATTCAAGAGCCTTCAGCAACTCAAATCAGCATCCACACACTCTCGCTTTCTCTCCATCTGTAATCATTTGCTCATTCATAAAAAACAGAGAGCACTACCTTGGCCCCCATGGTATCCCACATGACTCCACCGGATATTCAGAAAAACTCAAATGCGTGTCATTCACAAAGTTAAACACATTTTACCATATTTGAATCCATTCCACAATCACAGAAATGTAGAAAATGCAAAAAAGAAAGAAAGAAAGAAGCTCTGTCTTTTAGAAGTTCTGCTTAGATATGAAGGAGGTTGTATGCATGTTTATGACAACTGTCATTAAGTGTCATTCACTCAGTTATGTCATTTTTAATGCAAATATGACATTATTTGACCTAACCCTACCCCTAGCCTTACCCCTAACCATAGCCCATAACAAAGACATCTCGAACAATGTCATCTTTGCATTAAAAATTACATAACTGAGCGAATAACACTTAATGACAGTTGTCATAAACATGCATAAAAAACCTTCATATTCATGACATGTGTCATGGCATGATTATGTAGGTGTCATGTCATGATTATGAAGGTGTCATGTCAGTCTTATGCACACCCCTTCAAGTAAAGTGTAACCGCCTGTTTCAATGTTTGTGAAGAGTGGAGTAGGATTTACTTGATAAAAGCTAGGAAAAGCATGTTTTCAAGTAAAGGATACACACAATTCTTATAGGTTGTAACATTTTCTTAAGTAACACTTAAAAATGCTATAATTTTAATGCTAAAACTTATTTCTTTATTTTTTTAAGTATAGAGTGTGCACATGAACATAATAAGAACCTGCACCACGACTTTAGAAAGTCAAATATGCCTGACATTCACTGCAGATGTTACTGAATGGCCTAATAATTGAATATTGCACAACTTACCGTAGTTTAATCTCCATCCTTAAGTAAAATCTCCTAAATCACAGAGGAAAAACTTTAGTTGGACAAGCCTGTCAGTCAGATCTTCCTCTGTGCGCCAGTTCCAATGGCAGAAGATGCGCAGCTATGACAAGGTCGTTTAGCATACATTTGACTGGCATTTGTTTTTTTTGTTTTTTTTTATATTTCCTTGGGATTTGGGCATTTCCATTTAAATTTACTTGAACACAAATAATTACGAAGAAACGGCAAATAACTCATTCAATTAAACTTAACCATTTGAAGTAGAAAGACTGAAATAGTATTTTTTTTTTTTTTAAACACACTCCAATAATCTTCCAAAAATAAGGTGAAACATTTTTTTTTCACACTGCATATACACACACTAACAAATTCCCTGTGTGTGCGCACTTTCCAGGTTATGGTGGACAATTCTGACTTCACCCCGTCTCAGGTCGGCTGTCTTTTCACCTTCTTGGCACGACAACTCGCCAAACCTGATAATACCCTCTTTGTCAACCGGAAGCTGTTTGACCAGGTGAAGTGACAGTCCCTCACCTTTTCCATTTGCGCACTACTGTCGTTGTTTTGTAATCCGAGCTATAATGGTTACAGCAAGAGAATATTCCTAAGAAGGTGTTAGTTTTTGGTGAAGACAATTAGCAGCTTCTGTAAAAATAGCTCTCCCGCATTAGAAGCGTTATGCTTGTTTTTCTGCATGTTAAATAGTTCATGATTAGTTGTAACATTTTCTTAAGTAACACTTAAAAATGCTATCATTTTAATGCTAAAACTTATTTATTTTTTTAAGTATAGAGTGTGCACATGAACATAATAAGAACCTGCACCACGACTTTAGAAAGTCAAATATGCCTGACATTCACTGCAGATGTTACTGAATGGCCTAATAATTGAATATTGCACAACTTACCGTAGTTTAATCTCCATCCTTAAGTAAAATCTCCTAAATCACAGAGGAAAAACTTTAGTTGGACAAGCCTGTCAGTCAGATCTTCCTCTGTGCGCCAGTTCCAATGGCAGAAGATGCGCAGCTATGACAAGGTCGTTTAGCATACATTTGACTGGCATTTGTTTTTTTGTTTTTTTTTTATATTTCCTTGGGATTTGGGCATTTCCATTTAAATTTACTTGAACACAAATAATTACGAAGAAACGGCAAATAACTCATTCAATTAAACTTAACCATTTGAAGTAGAAAGACTGAAATAGTATTTATTTTTTTTTTAAACACACTCCAATAATCTTCCAAAAATAAGGTGAAACATTTTTTTTTCACACTGCATATACACACACTAACAAATTCCCTGTGTGTGCGCACTTTCCAGGTTATGGTGGACAATTCTGACTTCACCCCGTCTCAGGTCGGCTGTCTTTTCACCTTCTTGGCACGACAACTCGCCAAACCTGATAATACCCTCTTTGTCAACCGGGATTTAACTAACTTTGTGTACAGTAAAATATTGTATTAAAGTAATGAGAATCACCTTTAAGCATAATGGGGTGAAAATGTGGTTAATTGTTATGAAATGAAGAAAAAAAAATATGTTAATGGTCCTTAAAATACTCATGGTAATTACGAAGGAAACAAAGCTTAGTATGTGATCCACTCTAAGCTGGACTTCACAGCTAGATCACTGATAAATCTAACGACTGCTGTTGAATGCATCGTATCAATTTCCTCAAGGTGAAGACACTGAAAATCTAATTTCAGAAAAAGATCGAACCTTTTTGTTGTTGTTATTGTTGTTATTATTGCTCATTAGTCAGCATTGTCTTTTTGTTTTTGTTCTTCCAGTTATCAGATCTGCGAGTTTATGTATGACAAAAAGCACCTTTACAACAAAATTGTTGACTGCTACCTGAAAGACCCTTTGAGAAAGGTACTCAGCTGTAATCCCTTCATTTCACCCTTTTCTTTCCTGTCACTCCTGTTATTTCTGTACTAAATCTTTATCTCTAACTCCAGGAGGAGCTCTTCAACTACATCCACAACATCCTGTCCATGCCAGGCTACAGCTCAGAGGAGAAGCAGCTGGTGTGGGTCAAAGCTCTTCAACACATCAAGGTGAGTCAAACAAGGCTACAAATGATTTGTCCCCTAGAGCACACTCCAGGTAGAGAGAGCTCCGGCTTCAGAAAGCTAATTTCAGACCCTAATCTCATCAGACCCTTCTCTCTCTCATTTTGTTCAGTCGATGGTCTTTGTCCGAATGACTTACTCTGATTGTTAAAATTGAGAGCACTGAAAATCAGTCAATACCACAGCATTATTTGTGACTGCCTTTCAGTTGAGCCTGAGTTTTAAAAATGAACATTTATTATATAACCCTAAAATTTTCCACCTTCAGGTTGTGGTTCACATGTATTTTTTGCTGTGAAATTTTACTGATTTTTATAAAGTAAATAAGAATAATATTGTTAGTAATATTTCAAGATGAGCACTTACTGGACTGAAGCAACTTTTTAGGGGAAAAATCATGTTCAAATGTGAGTATAAAAAATGATCCATCTGGCTTTTAAGGAATGTTTATTTGTTCATCTCTCAGTCATCATTGTACTGCATTGCATTATATGTTTTGAAACTACAGAGCTTTGATTATAAAAGTAAGCATTTAAATTAAAATGTTTAATCTAATTAATTACACGAAGTGGCGATTAATTAATCTAATTAATCGCAAATTAAATTTGGCTGTGAATATACCCACAGAAGATATTTTTAAACCATTATTGTATTAAATGAGAAAAGTATTAAAGGTGACTTATCATGAAAATCTGGCTTTTCCAGGCTTTAAGTGCTATAATCAGGTCCCCAGTGCATCTACCAACCAAGGAAACTTGAAAAAGATTAACCCAGTAACTTTGTTTTGGGAAGCCTTTTTCTGCAAGCGTCTGAGAAAACGAGCGCGTCTGATTTCACTTCCTTGGTGACGTGGCAAAGGGATCTCATTATAATATTACCGCCCCTAAAATCTGTCATTTTCCACCCACGGCGCCGTTATTGTGTTTTCGCAAGCGACAACGGTGTATTAGTTCCAATGCCATAGCGAAAGTTTGAGCAAAACATGTTAACTGTTCTGTCATTGGCTGCACAGACGAGCACAGAACACTATTTACAGTCCCAGCCTCAGAGGAGACAAGAGAGCAGTGCATTTATCAATTTATTTACTGTATATTGCTGCTGCCACACAGATCTAAAATAAACATGCGATTTATTTCCCAGCTGTTTACTTTCGCAGACATAACCGACTGCTTTTTGTAACTCATGTGTGTTTTTAATGTAAACTTGTGTGTGAATGAGAACTTAGTTTAGTAATCACATGCCTGTGACAGCTGCTTTCCGTCCGTGTGCTTCGGATGTGTGCGCTCAGAAAACCATATATCAGAAGTTTAAACTCATATGGTTTAAAACGCATGATTTCAGCGCGATAAACATAATAATCAGAACCAAAACAGATGTTTTTAGCAGGTACGAGCTGTAATAGAACAGCTCTATTTTGGAAAAGGGGGCGGGGAGCAGCAGCTCATTTGCATTTAAAGAGACAGGCACGAAAAACAGAGAGTTTCTGGTTCCACTCAAAATAGGCATTTTCAAAATGATATAATAAATGATCTGTGGGGTATTTTGAGCTGAAACTTCAGACACATTCTGGGGACACCAGAGACTTATATTACATATTGTAAAAAGGGGCATAATATGTTTCCTTTAAGTAGACATTACAAAAAGTAGCTTTAAAAAGAAATAATGTGGCGAATGTCGGTCCTGGAGAGCCGCAGCCATGCAGAGTTTTGCTTCAACCCTAATCAAACACACCTGAACAAGCTAATCAAGGTCTGAAGGGTTACTAGAAAGCTACAGGCAGGTGAGTTTTAATTAGGGTTGGAGCTGTACTCTGCAGGGCATTGGGGCATTTTTTTGCCCCAATATCTTGAATTTTAGTGGTACATAACTGCATTTATGTACTACAAGATGCAGTGACTTGTTGCCTTGCATCATGTTTGTCAACAATAAACTGTATGCAATTTAAGATTACATACAGGTCTGGGATGGGGTCAGTTCGTAAAAATATTTAATCAAATAATTTTTCCATAACTAATTAATTAAATTACCACTTTAAATTGACAGCCCTAATTTAAATATAATCTTACTTGGGAGATAGAGTGACATATTGATACAGTTTATGCAAGTAGGCTATATACTGATATAAAGCTCTCATTGGTTTTCATTACAAGCTATCAGAATTTCATCTTAATTTTTGGCCATGAAAATATCAGCATCTGCACCATTTTGCTCAGTTTGGGCCAATGAATAATTATAAGCTGTTTTTTTACTCCATAATCTCACTATATCATACACATGTCTTATGGATCATATAGTATCAAATATGATGCTCAGCAAATTCTTTTTTTAAGATTTTGTCTAAAGTTTCAATAAACTGCTCCATTTGGCGGGTAAAAATATTAATTATTTAGACTGTTACTTCATATGTCAGGCTTTACAGGGTTAAAGCAGCATACTGAAATTCATGTTATATTTATATTAATGAAACGTTTCATTCAAACATGACAATACTATTATTTGTACTGAAGAATGAAAAAAATAAATGTTTTCACTAGTAGACCCTAGGACCCAACTAAAACTAGTAAGTATTAGAAAATACTACTCTGGTGGATTGGCTGATTTTTATGAATTCTTATCGGATTGTCATTGTTCCTCCATTGCAGGATCTGGTCAGCATTAGCTCACCTAAGACAGCAGAGCTAGTTGCAGTGCACTTCGCAGACGAGGTGCAGTCTATCATCACATCTCTGCAGGTATGCAGCATTGTTGTATGTCAACGGTCTTGATGTTGGCTTGACACACATAGTTTATCCTTCAACAGGTTGGACTGTTAAGAAAAGCGTTTCTAAAGGTCCCTGTCGGTGTTGTATTGTGTGTTTGATTCTCCTTTGGTGTGTGTATAAATGTATGTGTTGCATTGTCTCGGCTCCTATTCACTCATCTTAAGATAGTGTCAGTGAATGTGTGTGAGAGGGAAGAGGCCCCCCTGAGGCCCACGCGCGCGCCTGTGTGTGTATCAGTAAATGGATTAGGCTCTATCGGCAGTGCTGTGTGTAATTGGGTTTTACGTTATCTCTCGCACACTGTCAGAAAGGTGCTAATTGAAATGCCTGCTTGTGCAAACATATGTGCCGATGAGAAGAAGATATGAGGGAAATGGGGAGAAAATAAACAAGTGTTAAGGGATGTTTTTTTTTTTTTCACAGTCAAAGACTAGTGTGAGAATAACATTACTGCTGTTTTAATGATGTGCAGTTCATTAAAGTCTGGAGCATTTGGTAAATTGATGATGACAAGAACACTAGTGGTCAAACTAATACCAACACAATACCAGACCCATGATATCATGCTCAGGGTTTAATCATTTTACGTCAATGGAGATGAAAAATGGTGTTCTGCTTGCAAACTTCCAGTTATCTAAGATAAAGCAGCCTGAAAGTACATGTAATGGTAAAGGGAAAATTCAAGGCACAGTATCTGGCTGTACTCTATTAAACCCTCTTGTGTAGTACTCAATGCAATTGATCAAGAATTGCAATACATTAATACAAGATCTCAAAGTTATAATTTCACATCACTGCAGTCCTTGTGAAAGGGAACTATATATTTTGATGTTGAACTCTCTATGTCTGTAGGATGACTATTTGGCGTTCCAGTTTCTGAAGTGCCTCCTGAACCCCAGGTAATAATAGCAGCACCCTCTGCAACACTGTCTCTTTTTGGCCGTTTTGTTTCATTTTACATGCCTGCTGTCTGGGTTGTGCTGTTTTTTGTAATGGAGTGATGTGTGCAGTTAAAGTTTCACGCCTCATAGATCTCTCTTCAGGGCAAACTGAGAAACACTATCACTTTTTACCATTCATTCTCTTTTTGTTTCCTTACCATCCATACCAAACCTGCAAATGGCAGGTCAACTGGAAATACTGGCCATAAAAATGATTTACTTAAACTACACTACCAAAATTTTTGAATCATTATTTGAAATATGATTTTAATTAAAGAAGTGTCTTCTGCCCATCAAGGTTGCATTTATTTAATTTAAAATTAAGAGTAATATTGTGAAATATTATTACAAACTGGTTTCTATTGTAATAGATTTTAAAATATAATTATTCTTGTGATGCAAGGCTGAATTTTCAGCAGCGATTACTCCAGTCTTCAGTGTCACATGATCCTTCAGAAATCATTCTGAAATGCTGATGTGCTTCTCAAATATTATCAGTTATTATTATTTGTGCTCCTTAATGGTTCTTATTATTATCAATGTATAAAAGAGTTTATGCTGCTTAATATTTTTGTGGAAAAAGTATCCTTTTTTTCAGGATTCTTTGATGAATAGAGAAAAAACTGCATCTAATTGAACTTGTTATATAAAAGTATTAATTAATTTTTATTTATTTATTAAGAATTTACCCAACCTGGTGGCTTTTAAAAATTCACAGAGTGGTCCCATGTGACATGTGCTGTATATTCCAAGTCTTCTGTGGGTATAAAATGTGACATGAAAAAAACAATGCCTAGAAATCCCCAAAAATGTATCTGTGTACTTTGTTCACGGAGTTTAATCTTCTTCACTGACTCCAGATCAGAACTCCAGTTGTTATGACAGTTGTTGCGACGAGCACAACGGGTATATTTACCTCAGAGAAGAAAGCACATGGATTGTATTTTATGTCATGTTTTCATTAATCTTGATTTTTCACAACTTGTGTGCTTTTCCTGGGCGAGTCGGAGTGAACTGCGATGCTAATAGAGTCTCATGAACACGCAGTCTTGCACAGAGACCAACGGCCAAGTCAGAAAATTTGTTAGACAATATGGTAAATTTCAGTTTTTTTCTCACCAAACCCTATTATATACCCAGTGGACACTTGTTGATTACCATATGCTGCCATTATATGGATAAGCACACGTTAGAATTTAAAAATATATATATTTTTATTAGTGAACAGGAGCAGTCCTTTTTCTAGCTGGAGTCTCTATCAAAATAACAGCCATCTCTGTCACCATCTTTCTCTGTCTTAAGCATTGTTCCTTCATCTCTTTACTCATATGACCTCTCCCACACATACATTTATCTAGACCTAGTATTTCATTCGCTTGTACACTGTCCCTACTTCATACCTAAACAAAACTACTACAACAACTACCCTACTTACTATCAATAAGCAGCAAATTGGGCGTTTATTGAGGGAAAACTCTTAATTAATTGTGAATATGTGTAACAATTAACTTCTTGTATTGACCCACAGAATATAACAATGGGCTCTTTTAAACTCAGCATGAAATAAAAGTTCTGTTTTTTAAATGCATGTTGGTCTTATTGTAAACGACTGTAATTTTTTATTTGCTTCTCTCTGGTGACATGTGCTAGACTTCTCAAATCATTTAGTTCACTTAAAGGAGTAGTTCAGTTCCAGAACAAAAATGTACAGATAATCTACTTGCCCCCTTGTCATCTAATATGTTCATGTCTTTCTTTCTTCAGTCGTAAAGAAATAGTCTTTTGAGCAAAACATTTCAGGATTTCTTTCCATATAATGGACTTCTATGGTGCCCCCGAGTTTGAACTTCCAAAATGCAGTTTAAATGCAGCTTCAAAGGGCTCTAAATGATCCCAGCCGAGGAAGAAGGGTCTTATCTAGCGAAACGATCGGTTATTTTCTGAAAACAAATTACAATTGATATACTTTTTAACCTCAAATGCTCGTCTTGTCTAGTTCTGTTAGAACTCAGTTTTTTTCTGGTTCAAGACAGTTAGGGTAGGTCTAAAAACTCCCATCTCATTTTCTCCTCCAACTCCAATATCGTCCTACATCGCTGTTTTACCGTTTTTTTCTAAAGTGCGTTTGATCTTCTTTGCATGTTCACTTTGTGAACACTGGGTCGGTACATCTGCAGCGATGTAGGACGATTTTGAAGTTGCAGGAGAAAAATTAGATGTACTTTGTTTTAGAAAATAACCTTCTTCCTCGGCTGGGATCATTTAGAGCCCTTTGAAGCTGCATTTAAACTGCATTTTGGGAGTTCAAACTTGGGGGCATCATAGAAGTCCATTATATGGAGAGAAATCCTGAAATATTTTCCTCACAAAAACATAATTTCTTTACGACTGAAGAAAGAAAGACATGAACATCTTAGATGACAAGAGGGTGAGTACATTATTTGTAAATTTTTGTTCTGGAAGTGAGCTACTCCTTTAAACCCCTTTCTTACGATCAGTTGAACGCTAGCATCTATGTCTCATCTCAACCGATGGAAATAAAAGTTTCCGCCCTACTTTTTAATTTCGTTGTACTTGGATATGTTTCACAATATAGAAGAAAAGATCTGTCATTCCTTCTGTTTCATTGCAACTAGCAACCACTCAGAACACCCTAACAACCACGTAATGATACACTACAACCCATGCAGAACATGTTTGCAAGTATGTTGCATCACCCCTTTGCGTTTTTTACATTACTGAAAATGTATAAATCTAAAGTTGGATTGTTTCACATTCACCCGGCTCAGACAGTTGTTTTGGTTTCAGACACAGTCACACATCAGTGCTTGCTCATTTCAGTGTCATGGCAGACCCTCAGAGCTACAACGCTGCTTTTGCTGTAGCTGACCTGAGGTGCCCTTTATAGGACATATGGCACCTCAGGCCCAAAACTCATCTATGGAAGAATACCTGAATTTACTCTGTCCTCCCCATGTGACGTCTGTCTCCTCTCAACCAGGCCTCAAAGCAAGTTTCACCTCATGATCTTCCTGTTCTTAGCAACCTCCCATCTCATTTTGTCACTGAGCCTCATCTTGGACAACATAGCGGAGTTCATTTAGGGTAATTGGTATAAATAAAGACCTCCTTTCCTGATGCAGGCACTCTGGGACTCTTGTAGTGATGAAGTCAGTCACAGCAGTGATAAACACTCTACAGAACTCACTGTAAAAATAACTAATTTGTGACTATAACTTCTGGCAGAATCTTTAAATGTGACACTTTCAGGAGAGCGGCATAAGCTGTGCCACTTTTTACTTAAGATTTACTTCCTCTAGGCAAGACAAAATTAGAACGCGATAAAACTAATGCGCTATCAATTGTAATTCGAAAGTATTTATAACATACAGCCTTAGAAATATGACTTCTGAAAAATGGTTAAGTTGAATCATAGGACACTATGTGAATAATTTACATTTCAAATCAAAATATGATCATAAATGAGGAAAAAACGACTCCAAGGCCACCATCAGTCGGAGTGTAAAGAGTGAGAGATCTTGAGACAGGTGAAAAGCGTTTAGTTAATGCTGAATATTGACCTATAGGGGGATAGTCGCTGCATTTGGGGGTAAAAACAACGGAATGATTTATTGTGTAAGGTGCCAAGATTTTAAGGAGACCCGGGTTGCACTGTCTGTTTGTTCACACGCATCTTGTTAACGAATACCTCAATTGTTCAAAGCATTTGGCACAATCGTCTGTGAGTGACGTCACTTTCCAATACAAACACGCCCTATAGTATAGTCCCGCCCCTGACACTGATTGACAAGTTTCCATGTAAGACATCTGAAATTCAAATGTTAAAGTAATTGCAATTCCATTTGAGTTTTAGCAGGTTACATGTGCGATGCAGAGAGAGTGAAAAAGCAGATGTTGTAATAAATATTGCTATTTAAATATGACAGGCTCATAACACGTAAGACATGGGAAATACAGTTGCAAATGGACTTTGCTTTTCCATTTGAAATTTGGCAGTCACTGTATGTTCGCGATAGCACAAGTGGTAATGCAAGATTTGCAATTGCATTTGGATTATGTCACAATTAATACGTCCACATATGCAAAATGCAATAGAAAATACAATTTGCAATTGCTTCTGAAAATAGTCCGGAATATCCTTCCATAGATACGTTTACTATGATGTAAAAATTTATTTTACCAGCCATGTACTTTGGTATGCAAATATTTCAGCCATGAGAGATTTGGTTCTGTGACCGAAATATTCAAAGTTTGCTACATTAAATGGTGCACTGACACTGACGGTCCACTGACACATCTTACCCCATTCTGCCTTAGAGAGATAGTTCCCCACAAAATGAAAGGTCTGTCATCGTTTTCTCAGCCACATATCATTCCAATTGATAAATATATATATGAAAAATAAATATGTCTCTATATCTTTACATTGAAAGTCAGTGCTGTTTTCTACCCCATTAACATGCACTGTAAGGGCACAAACATTCTTGAAAATATTTTGTGTTTCGCAGAAAGTAAGTCATGCACATTTGGAACATCATGAGGATGATTAAACAATTACATTTTTTAATCCTAATTCAGTGCACTTTCAGAATCCATTAATTTTATGTTCTGTGTGATTTTGACCACTTCATACACTTCACATCATCATCATTCTCATACGCCTCATATTTTTATGACAGAGCCTTAACAGAGTAGAACAGTATGTCTCACATGTGATGAGGATGTGCTTTCTCTCAGATGTCTCATGCAGCAGGAGCTGATAGTAGCTGATTGGGCTTTGATTTGAGAGCTTGGCTATGATTGAGATCTGAGAAAACCACTCTACATGATAATTTGATTGGGAGAGAAAGAGAAAGAGAGCAAGAGGGAGATGCACTGATGACGCATGATTTCCATTTGGAGCTCTATGAGAGGGACTTATTTTCCCCAAGAGAGATAGACGGCAGTCTATTGAGTGCATAGGATGTCAACAGCTATACTGTATAATTCACAGTATAGTAATTATTTTACATATACATACATTTTATATATATATATATATATATATATATATATATATA